TCTGGTAAGGAACTGTTGTTTGATGAAACAACTCTCTCTCTTCTTCAAGTAACTCATGTTACCACATCAGAGTCCTCCAATGACAAGAAACGGGACTTTAATTACTTCATAGGACAAGCAACTTCCATTAGAATTGCTCTAATGGCTAAGACTTGACTAGTGGAACAAAAGGATAAGTACTCTGCACTTATAACTTCTAAGGTCGGACATGCTTTCAACAACACATTAATTATTATGCATATGAACATTATATTAGTTGGGTTTTAGAGAGTGCTTTTATAAGAGAAATCTAACTTTGCAAACCAAGATTGATGTTCATTAGGTATGATTTACATGTTTTTTTTTTTTGGGTGAATTTTGCATGTTTTCTATCTCATTCAAATCAATAAATTTCAACATAATTGATTGTAGTAAGATTTTTCGTATGTTGTTAAGGTTCGATTTCTAGTCATGTACCATGAGAAAAAATTGTTGGGAGGGATAAAATTCATTTTAGTAATCTTTATTATAAACCAGAAAAGAAGAAAAAAAAGTGTGCTCATTAAATTTATGAATAAATATTTAATTTAGACTCTAAAATTATATATAATATAACAGACATTTCAGTCTATAATGTCTGGTAAATCTTGTTTTATTGATAATTTTTATAAAAAAAAAAGTTTTAAATTCTATTTTTTTGTTACTTTATTATTATTTTTGTCCATTACTTTTTGCACAAAAAAAATTAAACCAGGTGATATGTTACGTAGTAAAAAAAATTAATAGAGGATTTTAAAACCTCATACACATACAATATCAAAAACTAATTTAGAGATTTACTCAAACACTACTTTAGCAAAAAAATAATAATAATATATCATGTTGTCACTAGCTAGTGTGATATTTTATGTAAGTTTTCCCCCTTTTTTCTCCATATTCATTATTCTTTGAATCATTGTCAACAAAAGGGAGGCTTACGTTGACTAGAGAAAACACTGAGAAAATATATTATTTAGTTTAAGATAATATTTATTGTTTTATTTTTTTAATTATGAAATGCTATACATTTTTATTTAAAAAATTATGTAAATTTTATCTTCTTTTTCATAAAAATTTTAAAAACTCAAATTCATGTGATATTTAGTTTTAAAAAAATAATTTTGTTTGATATTATAACTTATTTTAAGAACTTATAATTTGTTTACATAAACTAATTGAATTAACTTATAACTTAGAAACTGTTAATTTTTTTTTAATTTTTTTTATTTCCAATAATTAACTTGAAATCATTTTTACTCCTTTTGATTTATAAATCATTTTGTCTGCATGTTATTTTTTACTTTTATTATCAAATAAATAGATATATGTCATTTTATATTAATCAACTAACTTATTAATTAATTTTATTACACACTTTTAATTCAATCAATTAATTTATAAATTTATAATCTTTTAACTCATAAATTATAACTTGTTAATTTTAACAAGCTTAAAATCTTTTGACTAGTAAATTTGTTTTTATCAAACATACTCTATCAATTAATCAAATGAGCTTATCACTTCCTTATATGTCTTACCAATCATGATCATAAAATATTTACATGGTGTTCAGATTCTGATTAGAAATGGTAAAGCAAACATTCATCTCAGTGCTTCCTCTCAGACACTTTTTCCTTTAATAACATGTTTGGGACGTTGAAATTTCACATTTCTGTTGTTTGAGACAATCACTTATACTAGCAAACTTTTTTTGTTCTTTCTGAAAAATGTTATTTTTATAAAGTTGAAAATTTAAAATTATAATTATTTATCAATAATTGTTTTTCTTTTTGAGTTGATTTACCTTATAAAAAATAATTATTTGTTGTACATAAATAAAATTAAATATCTAAAAAAAATTTCATTAAATTTATCTAACCAAAGGTTTATTACGATTATAGTTGTCTAGGAAACACGCGTTGCCAACAAAATAAACACATTTATTTTATTGGTGGGTCAAGATAAAATATAATATCCCAAGTCTAAATTTTATTATCGTTTTTTTTTATATCTTCTCTTAATAATAAAAAAAAAACAGATAGAATATTTACTTAAGTTATAAAAAAAATATTAAAAAGGCTGCGGAGGAATCAATCGATGTAATAGGATTCAAAATCCTTTTGCGCTAAGCCATATTTCCATTCTAAAATATCATTAATTTTTTTTCTTCTAATTTTTTAATTTTATATTAAATATTATTTTTTTTCACACATCTCTTTCTCTTTTTTCAGTTTTTACATATACTCATTGCCTTCCTCCCACTTCCCACTTATTTTAATAAGTATTTTTAGTTTTTTTTTCTTTCACATCACTTTCTTCTCTCTTCCCCTCTTTTAATTTTCATAAACATCCGGTTTGTAAAATTGGTGTGTGACGGTATTGTAGGCACAACTTCCTCGACAATGTCAAAGGTGCCAAATTAGACACGCAAACACTTTTTTCATTTTCACACTTTCAAAAATCTCTAAATTAAATTTAGTATTATTTAGTCTTTTGAAAAATACTTTTTAGAATAGTCAAATTAGTGTTCTGAAAAGTATTTGTGTTTTTTTTATATATTTTATGAAATACTAAATTTACCATTAAAAAAATAATTTCAAAATTATATAAATATTAGTGTTTTGATTTTTTTTTAAAGTGTGTTATTTTATATAATTTCAAAAAGTTTTTCTCCATAATAGTAAGTTTAGTGTTTCAAAAAATACTTTCTAAAAGTATGAAAAAACATAATTTTAGAGAATACTTTTTTGAGCACTAATTTCACTATTTCAAAAATACTTTTTGGAATATTAAAATTAATGTTTTCAAAAAGTGGTTTCCAAAACACTTAATTTAATACTATGTTTTCTCGCACTATGAAAGGAGAAGAGGAAATGTTCAAAGAAAAAATGTGTTAAATACCTTCGAACTATTGAAGAAGTTGCACATGTTTAATGTTTCGCACATCAATTCTATGTCTCGGTGCATGTGAAAATTTAATATTTAAAAGAGAGGAAATAGAAAGTAATATGAAAACTATAAGAATTAAAATTGTTTATTAAAATAAGTGGAGAACAAGGAAAAAACAAAGAAATGCATGTGAAAATTAAAAGGAGAAAAAAGAAGGTGTGCAAAAAAGAAGGAAGTGCTAAACTGGATCTTGGAGATGTAAAATTAAAAAAAAAAAAAATAGGTAAATGCATGATGATACATTAGTTGAGGTGTATGCACATGTTGTGTTATTGATTAGTGTGTTCATATGTATTGGATGAGTATATTATTGTTTGATATGTCTAGGTGTGTAGTTTCCAAACATATTGGTGTTGTGTTATCTAGTGAACGTTGTAAACCACAAGGTGTTTCGGTTGGTTTTACATGTTGGTGAGTAATATAAATGTTCTTTCCTATACTAATATGTTTTTTTAAATCTAACTTACCTTTATGTGTTTTTCATATAATTTAGATTGTGATGATCATAATTTTTCATAGGAATAGGATAGAGATAGCTAAAACGGACTTCATGGAAATGTTGTAGGACCATTTTGGTGGTGCAATATTGTCTTAAGCTATTTTTTATAGTTTGTATAATAGTGTTTGACCGATACTTAGAATTTTGTATTATTTTATACTGGATGACTATACATATATTGTATATATTTATAAAGTTGTTTTTAGTTATACTTATATTTATATACATATCATAGTATACATATCCATGTATAATGAGTATAAAATCTTAAGCATGTGAGTAACTCTATTACTAGTTGGTGATTTTACAAAGTAAAGTGACCATGACAAGTCGTTACAATGATTTTTTATATCATAAATTTGGACCAATTTGGTTAATTTTGAAACATAATTTTGGATTTTTTTTATTAATTTAAGATTTGAAATTCATTTCATTAAATTCATTTATATTAAAACTGATGAATGTAACTAAAGTTCAAATAAAAAAGTATTATAAACATGATAAAAATTGCATAAAAATAAGTTAAAAAAAAATTCAAAAACTATTATGCCATACTATTTTCTAGTTGCGTATAAGATATATTTTTCACACAATTTTTATCATATTATAGATTTTATTGAATTTTACAGTTGAATTTATTGTTATAATTTTCACGTATCAAATTAGTCAAAAATTAATTCAAAATTATGTCACAAAATAAAAATTTATTATTATTTAAAAAAGACTAAATTAATATTAATAAAAGAATAAATGATCAAAATAAATATTTTAACAAATAAAAAGACTAAAATAAATATAAAAAATAAGATAAAAAATAAAAATATAATTTAACCTATTAATTATCATATTATCTTTTTAATATTTGATCACAATTAATATTACAATCTCAATAATCAACCTATAAAGATTTGATGATTGAACCAAAATTACATAAAGAGCAAAATTATATATCGAATATAATGAAAATCAAATATTACAATTCAACAAAATAAGCAATATATTCTTATATATATATATATATTAATAGTTATTTTGTCAAAATATATTTATATTAAAATAGTTTTATCGTTATAGAGTATTTAGCACTATTTTTTTTTTATGAAAACATTTTAATTTGATTATTTAACGAGTATATTTCTAGAGATTTTTTTTTTCAATTTCTCATATCTTTTGTTTTATCTTTTATCTTTTTAATTTTATATTAAACTTCAATATATTTTTTTATAAAAATTATCAATAATTAAATACACACTAGTATTACAATATAATTTTTTTATTATAAATTTAAAATATAATTTACATTTTAAAAATATCTATTAAGTATAAATTTTAATTATAATATATTTATATATTTTAAAGTATAATAATTATATAAAATAAATATTTATGATGACTGAGTAAAATACTAATATAAAAGTATTTTTAAAATTAAAAGTAAAATCAATTATAGTTTTTATTTTTAAAGGTTAAAAACAATAGTAATAATTAAAGGAAGAATTCAGCAAACATAACAAGGAGGGAGAAAGGAAATTGACAAGCTATGCGTTTTATTCGTGAAGGCTGAAGCTCACAACTCACAACTCACAACTCAGAGGGGAAAGAAAAGAAAAGAAACCTCTCAACCCAGGAAGGAAAATTTCCCATTCGAGAGGGACTGAACAAAACCGTAAACGCAGAAACCAAAAAAGACACCGTCGTACATGTAAGTTTCGTTTCGACCTCTTCCTCCACACACACTCATTTTGCATCACAAATTCTTCACCAATCCAACCACCAACGCAAACTCTTCGCCTCTACACGTGCGTTCCTCACCTCTAATTTGGTTATTTATTTAGTTATTTATTTCGGGTAGGTACGTATTGCTTTAGGTTGTTAGGGTTCATGGCTCAATGCCAGGTTTTCAATCCACTAAGTCGCAATGCAACTTCTCTCGTTGCTTATTTTTGATTATTACTTATCGCAATTAAATCATTATCGATCAATCACAATTCGAGTGTTGCTTGGATTTGGGGATTTGCTTTTGGATGCAACATCATATTGTTACTTATGAGATTCCGGTTTTCCAAAATTGGGGTTCAGGTTGCGTTGATGATGTCTCGCTGGGTATTGAGAGTTCTAGCTTGTCGGCATTGTTAGGCTTTGAAGTGTTTGTGATTAGAAGAAGATCAAGGGTTATTTCCTCAAATTATCATTGTTAAGCTTCCTGTTTGTGAGTGCCGTTATTTATTAGGGGTTTTATATCATGCTTAATTTCTCACCGGAAGAAAGGGTAACCGTGTATTCTTTCCTCTAAAGGAACGAGGGGAGGGTGCTGGAGATTTAAGTGCGTGCATCGACTATATTTAGTAAGTCATCAAAATCTGTGTATACCGTGTACGCAGTTATGCAATTTTGTAACTTGTTATATTCGGATAAGTGGTTTGGTGTATTGTTGTTAGTATACTTTGTCAATCTCAAATTTTCTCATAGAATGTGATAAACACATAAAAGATCAATTGTGGTATGTAAATTATTGGGATTGTTTTGTCCTCTCTCCCTAGTTTAGTTTTATTTTTTTATATGCTTGATTGGACGCTGATAAGAATAAAGATTATATTCATCTTATAATTTTTGTCAATTATTATTTTAGTCACGTGGTTTCATTTGATATTTCAATAAAACCCATATTTGATTTAAAATCAATTTTTGTCACATTCATCTTAGATGTGATGGGAGTTGGAAGATGTATGCATATGCACTGGATATTGCCTCTTATGTTTTGTATTTACTACTGCTTTGCTTTCTTCAGGGTCTCTCGTCATTACAACTTCCATCTTATGGATATTGCCTCTTACACATACTTCTGAATGTCTCCGAGGCTCTCAAGAATAAACTGTAGTCATATATTGTTTGTTTTAGATGCCTTTAAGTTCAAATTCACCATCAGTGAAAGTTGGCCTAGCCATGAATCAGAATGCACTTTCTTCTTCTGAAAACCATGAAAGGAGTTTGAAACCTGAGGAGGACAAAGAAGAAGGGGAGGAAGGGGAGGAGGAGGAAGATGAAGATTTTAACCCTTTTCTAAAGGATACTCCTTCACAAGAAGCATCTTCAAGTTTGAGCTCTGAAGTTGATGGTTTGGATGGTAATGTTGTCACTAGTGGGCCATCCGTGGATTCAGACTTATCAAAAATAGCTACTAAGGAACCAATCTGTACTGTTGTTGATACTGAACATGGTGAGGAAGAGATTATTTTACAATATTCAGGTATGATCTCTCAGTCAGAGATTAATCAAGAGAAGCACAATGACCTAACTAGAGCAACTAACGGTAATGGTTCTAGGACAGGAGAACTAAGTAACAAAACAAAATCCCGGAGTCCAGTAATAGACATAGATAATGAGGATGCTATCTGTATGCGTACTAGAGCTCGTTATTCACTTGCAAGTTTTACACTTGATGAGCTTGAGACTTTTCTTCAAGAGACCGATGATGATGATGATCTTCAAAATGCTGATGATGAAGAAGAGTATAAAAGGTTTTTAGCAGCTGTTTTACAGAGTGGGGATGGTGATGGTCTTTCAAATCAAGAAAATGAAAATCTTGATGACGATGAGGATAACGATGTAGACTTTGAGATAGAACTTGAAGAGTTATTGGAAAGTGATGCTGATGACAATGCATCTGTAAGAACTCGAAAAGAGTATGATGGAGCTGGACGACGGCCTGAGACTAGGCAAAATAAGCGCCAAAAGGTCTCCACCCTATGTGAGAAGAAAACAATAGGAGAAGTCAAGAAGCCACTGCGCCCCATTTTGCCAAATTGGCTTAACGGACCCCTACCTTCTGGGAAAGGTTTGATTCCTGAGGCTACTCTAAGCTTTCAATCTTCTGCTTCAGGAAATGGTCTTGTCAATGGGTTTACTGCCCAGCAGATTGGCCAATTGCACTGTTTGATACATGAGCATGTACAACTTCTTATTCAGGTATTTTCTCTATCGGTTCTTGAACCCTCCCAAAAACAGGTTGCTTCTCAAGTTCAAGGCTTGCTTTCTGAGATGCTCCACAAACGTGATGAAATATTATCCTTGAAACGGGTGCCATATCCCAGTGTTTGCTTTAGTCCATCTTTTTCTCACTCATCTGTGTCCAATGGGGGCTCAAAACTTGTCCAGGCCCAGTGCAACAAAGAATATGCTCCACCACAAGATGTACAAAATATGTGTTTTTCTCAATTCAATCGGAGCTCCCTTGAAAGTTTGAATAGGCAAAGAAGTTGTTTGCAAGCTACTGAGAGTTCTTTCTGGGTTCCTTTTGTTAGAAGCCCTGTACAGTCTATTTTGGATGTTTCTCCTCTTAATTTAGTAAGAAGATATGTAGACGACGTTTCTTCTGGTAGGTTATATTAAAGATTTTAACTTTTCTTCCTGCTTCTCCATTCTATGCTGCTTTGTAAGAATGATTTATGCATACTCAGGCATTGGTTGAAATTCCATTTGCAGCTGCCCAAGAGTTTCGAAAGAGATACATTGCATCTGGTTGTGATTCACCTGTTGAAAAGGAACCTCTCTTTCCTTTTTCTTCATCAATGGCTGAAGCCAATGGAGAAAGTTCAAGTGGAACCATCTCTAGAGCAGTTAATGCAGCCTCAACATCACCTGGTAAACAAAAACCTAAGAAAACATTGGCTGCCATGCTTGTTGAAAGTACGAAGAAGCAGTCAATTGCTCTGGTGCCGAAGGAAGTTGCAAAGTTAGCTCAAAGATTTTTAGTCTTGTTCAATCCAGCATTATTCCCACACAAGCCACCCCCAGCAGCAGTTGTAAACAGGATACTTTTCACCGATTCAGAGGATGAGTAAGTTGCATGCCTCCTCTTTTTACTAACCAACTGTGTTAAATGATTTACTATGAACAGCTTGATCTTTATTCTGTTTACTTATCATTATCATCCATTATATTGACATGTGTTTGTGTATGCAAATATATAGGTAGCTTGGATGTCTAAAATCTCAACTTATCATTATCATCCATTATATTGAACTTTTATGTACAATTTTACTATGTTTAAGTGTTTAACATTTTTTGTGACCCATGTTATGCTTCTTAAATGTGGATGTGTCATTGGCAAATCTTAGAATTTGAGCTCCTACAAAATTGACTTGTAAACTGAAGACTACTCAAGCCTTATAAAGACTACATTGTTTATATATCTCTAGTTGATATAGCCTTATAAAGACTACATTGTCAACACTCCTTCATGTTCAAGAATGGATATTTGGAGTGCAGGCAAATGTGAGTGGCATAATAACAATGCCCCCTCATTCCTAGGAAGAAACATGGATAAATACGAGTGACTCTATAACAAATATAGGATAGGTTTTGATATCATCTTAGTATCTGGATTTTGGGCCCAACTTAACCTCACATAATTAACTTGACAAACTTTAGAATTTGAGCTTCTGACCTAACTTAGCCCTATAAAATTGGCTTGTAAGATAAGAATGACTATTAAAGCCTCATAAGGACTACATTAGCCTTATCTTTAGTTGATAGGAGATTTCGACACACCCCCTCACACCTAAGATTGGACATTTGGAGTGTGGATAAATGCTGGTGGCCCAATAACAATGCCCCTCTCATGCCTAATAATAGACATCTATAGTGTAAACAAATACAGGTGGCCTTATAACGGATTTAAGATTTTAATACCATCTTAGAATCATAGTAGTCAATAGCGGCCGGAGCGGCCTCACCCCGCAATCTCGCTGCTGTCGCGTGGCGGATTTGTGTAGTGGCCGGAGCGGCCGCGTCGGAGGCGGAGCGGAGCGGCACAAATCGCGGAATCGCGGGCGCAATTTTGACTTACCCTTCATTAAGGGTAAGTCAGTCTTTTCAATGGGGCTTTTTTTGCCCTAAGTCTCCCTTTCCCTCTCGCGATTTCAATTGTCGCAGCCCTCTCTCGTCTCTCCCTCTCAGATTGTTTCTTCTTCTCTGGCGATCGTGCGTGCAGCTCCGACGAACTCCGGCTCCGACGCACCTCCGTCGCCGACGCGCCTTCAGCTCCGACGCACCTCCAACTCCGACGCGCCTCCCGGTCCGACGCGCCTCGCTTAGTTCGTCTTCTCCTTCGAGTATTCTCTCCTTTATGTACATTGCAACATAATTTGTTTTTTAATTTTTTATTAAATTTTTTTTTTTTTTTAATTTCTGATTAAATTTAATTCAACAAATTTTATTTTTAAATTCTGATTAAATTTAATTCAACAAATTTTATTTTTAGTTTCTGATTAAATTTAATTCAGCAAATTTTATTTTTAATTTCTAATTAAATTTAATTCAGTAAATTTTATTTTTAATTTCTGATTAAATTTAATTCAGCTGATTTTATTTTTAATTTCTGATTAAATTTAATTCAGAAAATTTTATTTTTAATTTCAGAAAATTGTATTTTTAATTTTTGATTAAATTTAATTTATCAGATTTGTTTTCTGATTAAATATAATTCAACAATTTTTTAAAATTTCTTTTCTACTTTGTTTTGGAGACATTTTATATTATGTATTGTTTGAGTACTATGAACTTTTAATTATTAAAAAGGTTTAATGTATGAATTTAGAGTTATTTTTTTTGTTTTTTTAGCTTTTATATATATATTATTAATTATTTAATATATATAAATTAATATTAAAATAGCGGTTATCCCGCTCCGCGTCATCCCGCTATCCCAGTTTTAGGGTCGACCGCTCCGCGCCGCTATCCGGGATTGACTACTATGCTTAGAATTTAGATTTAAGGCCTGATTTAGCCTCAAAATCAGCTTGTAACTTGTAAGGTGAGGACTGCTCTAGTATTTTAAGAATTATGTCGGCCATATTTGTTGTTGATGTGAGATCTCAACAACAAATGTAATGTTGTTCTGAGTATAGGTTTTGTCCTCTTGGTCCATGATCCTTGTACTACAATTAATGTTGCTTCTTAAATCTGCATGAGTTTAAGCCTGGAGGCATAAAGTCTCAAATGATCAATATTTTTTCAACAAGGCCCAACACTAAGATGTAATACTTTTGTTTGTTTAAATTTTAATGCTGAGTGTTAATATCAAGGTTAAATTAATTGATGCAGTTTGTTGGAAACAATATTAGTTAATGCCCTGAGGAGTAGTATGTTCATGTATCACATGATAAAATATCCAGTACTCGTGTATTAGTGTTTAGGAAGTTGCACTCAAATAACTGTGGCCCAGGAAATTGTCTCCACTAAGTCTATTAAGAACCTATATATATGAATGTCTTGTCTTCTATGACCTATGTTATATATTCTACTAAATTATAAGAAACCATTCTCATTTTGACTCCCCATTAAAACATTTTGCTGTGTTTCTCCCTCTCTTCCCCTCTAATAAATTCAACATGATTGTTGTATTGGTGTGTCTGAGGACATGAAGCTTGAATGATAAAGTTAGAAAGACTCTACTACACATCTTCTCTCAAATGAAAATACAACAGATTATTATACTATGCTTGTTTTAGTAATTTAAAAAATTCCTGTTAGGCCTGAAGTTTTGTTTTAGTTGGTTGTGGATATGAATAAGATTTTTTTACAAGTGAAGCTAATAAAAAACCTTTTGATGTGTCCCCGGTGAAGATATTTATTTCAATATTTTATTTTTCTGTAGATGAAGATCTTATTTTTGTGTTCCCTTGAATTTGATGCTCTACATGTTTTTTCTTTGTTATTTATGGGTCCTATGTTTGAATTATGTGTAAGTATGCAAGAGAGTATGCTCAAGCATATTTATCTTATTTCTCTTTCTTTGTACCCTTCTACACTTTCCTTTTATCATGACGTAAGTTTTATTTATTTAGTGTATAATGATATACAGAATCACCTATTCTTGTCTCAGTAAGATCAAAGATGATATGACATTGTTATGTTCTTTTGGTGTTTGGCTATCTGTCTCTTTTCTTTGTTTTGTTTTATTTGTTGGAACTAAGAACGTTTTTTTATTCATTACTACATCAAATTATTTTAATTCATAGTTGACTTTGATGGTCTGCATTTTTTGGACTTTTTACTACTTTTAACTTCATTGTTGCTGACAAGCTTACGAAGTTCACATCTCTTTTAATTTTATTGCAGATTACTAGCCTTAGGAATAATGGAATATAATACGGATTGGAAAGCGATTCAACAACGTTTTCTTCCCTGCAAGTCTAAGCACCAGGTATCTACTACTACAGATTACAGATTTCTTCTGAGGACTATTTTTTGGGGGTTAGGGGGTTGTATTTTGATTGTTGAAGCATCTTCATTTTTTGGTTACTATTATGTTCTTGTTTGTGATACGGTGAATGGACTGTTTTTTTTTGACAGATACATGCATGCTAAGATTTTGATAGTATACCTTCCTTTAGATAGTTTCCCTAATATGGGAGCATTCTTGTATTTTATGGAGAAAGAGTCCAATATAATCTTCAGGCTTGAATCACGGTTGTTGTTTCTTTTAATGGTTATCGTACAAAGTTGTATGACTAAATGGATTGGACGTAATTTATTGGTTTGATTAATATATTTCTTGAGAAGTACTTGGATGGAGATCCTCTTGACAAATGCAGTTTAAGCTTACCTTTGTTGCCACTTGCAATTTTCTGTCTGTATGCCTCACATCACTTGGCGGAAGAAATACTGAAATTAAGAGTCTGCAAAACTATATAGAGCAATATGAGTTAGTGTCTGTCTATTTGTAACTATTTATTTTTACTCTAACTAGCATGTTTCAAAGATAAAACAATATAATTCATCAGTAAACACATTAAGACAGTCTTTACAGCTTTGGAAAGTTGGTTTTATTTTAATGATTGTTATAGGTGGCGTAGTATACTATTTTACTCATCAGTTGGGCAATTCATTCTTAGTTGTCAAAATAATGTCCTGGATATACTTTCCTTTATCTCTTAACATTGTGCTATTAGGTTGAACTTCTGAAGACCCTATGTTTAGTATTTCTGTGCTTGGGTGGGGTTGTCCATGGTATTGAAGTGTCATCATGACGATGCATTGCATATCTTCTTTTAGCTAGTATTGAAATGTAATGTTTATTTGAATAATTTAGTTCAGAAATTCCAATGTGGTGGTAAAGTCTGTTGCCTATCTAATATGAAATGGAATACTCTGTTACAGATTTTTGTCAGGCAGAAAAACCGTTGCTCTTCAAAAGCATCAGAGAATCCAATTAAGGTAAATCGATATACTTAATCCTATATAATGAAATGTCATTTTTATCTTCCTTCTGTGTTTAATTGCTGAGAGAACAAATTTTATAAATCAAATAATATTAAGTACATTGATTCTAGTCTCATCCTTTCTCTCTTACCCTCTGATTATGAACTTATAAATTGAAAATATTTGTGGCACTGCTTTATAACTTTTTATTCTAGTTTTATTTTAATTTTATTATTTTACCCTGGTCTTGTATTGTGTGTCAATTCCCTTTGCTCTTTTTTTTTAACTATAAAGACAACTGAGAAACTGTAACATGTATACTCCTAAACATAGGATATTGTGTTTTTAGGACAAAACAAAAGGTTACCCTAGGAGAATAGTTTTTCTATAGTTTTACAGGTAAGATATGCATGAGGCAGCCAACGGGGTTGGCTCACCTAGACAACCTTTCATTTATGACAGCTGCTTGACTGGAGTTTGAATCTAGGAATTCCTTGTAGGTATGCAATTTGTAATTCCAACATAAATCCTCATCGAGGTGGTTTGTTTGCCTAGCCTTGGAAATGGAAGTGCCTCTTCTCACCCAAAAATTTTGTTTACCAAAGGAAAAAAATGCACGAGACAGAGTCAGATTTGATATCATCAAGACCAAGATAATCCAAAACCTGCTTGCCTAAAAAAAATGACAAAGTTTGTGGCTAAATTCATCAAATTTGAAAGCCCTTTATTTTATCTTCTACTGTATTCTAAGTTCTAATCTTTCAACTGTTTTATCTTGGCATGTGGGATCATTGCTGAATAGGGGTGTGCATGATTTGGATTTATATAAAAACCAAAACCAAACCATGTTATTAGTTTATGATAGGAACCCAAATTAAAGACAAGCAAAAATTGTATGATTGATTGGAAAATTGAATGTTTTACAGAAGAAAAGCCCCTCGTAACCCCAGAGCCATTGCTCCTTAGAGAAGAGAGATGATGATTGTCTCTCTGCCCAACATCTAAGGTTTTAACCGAAAACGATACTAAATGAATTCACCCTAGCCATGTCCTCTCCCTATATATTCATTACCTCGTCTAACTAATTGGCCAAATCAGAAATTATAACCAATTCTTTATTCATCTTTTGCTGACTCTCAAAAGGAAGACATGCAACTTCTATTTGGCTCATTCTACAACAATAATATTGTGTTTCAACTTTGTAAGAAATTGGATATTTAATCACAGCAACATCACCGCTCCCCATTATTTTTTATTTAGATCCTTATCTTAGTGGCAAGATGACTTTTCTATGGGTAATTAACATGCTTTCTCGGCATATCTCAGATGATTCTACTTTATAGCCTCTATATGTATATCATTGTTCTGTATTTATAGGCTTATAGCTTATATGGAAGTTGGAACCATAATAAACTCAGTAATTTAATAATAAGTAATGTTTGATATTTTATTTGCTTGATTTCTCTATACAGGCAGTTCGAAGAATGAAAACCTCCCCATTGACTGCAGAGGAGATAGCGTGCGTTCAAGAGGTAATGTACTCAACATTTCAACTGCATTTTGGATTAAAAAATTTGCTGCTAGATAGCATTATGACCTGCTGATGTATGACCAAAAATATACAGGGACTTAAGATTTATAAATTTGATTGGATGTCTGTATGGCAATATATTGTTCCACATAGAGATCCATCCTTACTTCCACGCCAGTGGCGCATTGCTCTGGGCACTCAAAAGTCATACAAGATAGATGCATCAAAAAGGGAGAAGCGGAGATTGTATGAGTCAAAAAGAAGAAAGTTGAAGGCTGCTGCATTAGAAAGCTGGCAAGCTATATCTGATAAAGAGGTTTGTTACTGTCTGAAGCTTAGAAGCCTGTGTTGAATTTTATCTCCCTTGTCTTGCACATGTTTGAGATGCCATTATAGTCATCTGATGTTGCTTTTGTTAACTACCTGAATGGCTTAGTATGAGTAACATACAGATGCACAATATACAGTTTTTAATTTACTTTTGTGAAATCTTGGTTCACATGTGAATAATAAGTTATAAATCATTGGAAATTGAGGGTTTGCTTATAAATATACTGATACATGTTTCTAACATTTCTTATTTTCTTTATTGTGTGTTTGACATGTATGAAACATCTCACCTATACCCTGCCAGTTCATCTATCATATCAGTGTGTTATTGGCCTTTGGCTAAGTCTGAGAGCTTAGCTTTTCCCGGCTTTTCTATGGGTTATTGAGGATCAGAATTCACAGATTTTGGATTTACTTTTTTGCTTTTTTGGAATTTATTGTAGGAATGTGATGCTGACATTGCTGGTTCAGAGTGCATGGATTATTCAGAGGTACCATATGTCCACCAGGCATTTTTGGCAGATTGGAGGCCAGACACATCTACTCTTAATTATTCAGAACGTATTTCCACTACATCTGGAGAAGGAAACATGGCTCACAATGCTTTTCCTCAAGATATTCAATTTTATAGGGGTACTCATGATTATGGTTCAAGTGGAAGAGTTCAACATCAGAGTGGTAATCAGTCTGCATTTCCATCTGTATCTAAGCTTCCTCAGTTTACTACATCTGATTTGAGAAATGGAATGAATGGTGCTCCTAGTGGTATTAATCCTAAAAAACCAGTTTTTGATGTGACTTCTGGCTCCAAATATTATTGTCGGCCCTATCGGTCTCGGAAGGCACATAATGCCCACTTGGTGAAATTAGCACCAGATTTGCCTCCTGTAAATCTTCCCCCTTCTGTTCGTGTAGTTTCTCAAACTGCTTTTAAAGGGTTCCAGTGTGGAACATCCAAGGTTTATCCTCCTGGAGGTAGTGTAGCTGCTTGTAGAAAAGATAATTCTGCACCTCATGGTGAGAAATATGAAAATGTTCATCTTGTTAAAGGTGCAAGCCCTGCATTGAAAGACAGTGTCACTGGTTCTCACTTAGAAAGATCTGAAACTGTTGAAGGCATATCTATTGTGGCAGAAAAAGGCACTTGTACTGATCTCCAGATGCATCCTCTATTGTTCCAGGTCACTGAAGATGGCAATGTGCCTTATTATCCATTGAAATTTAGTTCCGGTTCTTCTAGTTCCTTCAGCTTCTTCTCAGGAAACCAACCCCAATTAAATCTGAGTCTCTTCCATAGCTCCCAGCAACAAAGCCCCATTGATTGTGCTAACCAGTCCATAAAGTCAAAGGATTCCACTTCAAGATCTGGAGGCATTGATTTTCATCCACTTCTGCAAAAATCTGATGATATGCCACAATCACCAACCAATTTTGATGCTATTCCTCCTGAGTCACAGGTTAATAGTGGTGTGCCGGCTATGGCAAATACATCTTCTGGCCTTAATGACAAATGTAATGAACTTGACTTGGAGATTCACCTAAGTTCTGTATCTGGAAGGGAAAAATGTGTGAAAAGTAGACAGCCAAAGGCACATGATCTAGTAGGGTCCAAGAAAACTGTAGCAATTAGTGGAACAGCAATGAAACCTCAAGAGGATAGTGTTCCTTATTGTCAGAAGGGTGTTGAAAATCTTCCAGCTAGCACTTGCGAGCTTGCTTCAAGTGCCCCTTTGGTTGTTCCTAATGATAACATTGCCAGATATGATGTAGATGATATTGGTGATCAGTCTCATCCTGGGATAGTGATGGAGCAGGAAGAGTTAAGTGATTCTGAGGAAGATATTGAAGAACATGTAGAGTTTGAGTGTGAGGAGATGACTGATTCTGAAGGAGAGGATGGTTCTGGCTGTGAACAAGCACTTGAGGTTCAAAATAAGGTATTTGGCTTATCTTTTCAGTTTGCTTTTAGTTTTCATTTATGTGTCTGTGTATTTATACATTTTACAATTTTTTTTAATAAGGAGAAATAACATGTATCTCCTATTATATAGTCCCTCCCTCCCCCCACCTCAGTCTTCCAAATGAAACGAGAAACTGAAAAACTTGTTTGGTTTGTGAAAATATTTTTTGTTTTCATTTTTAATTACAAAAATAATTATTCCCTTACACAAATCATTGAAAGTAAAAAAATAAAAGGAAAACAAGGTAGCATTTTTGTAATTAAAAAAGTGAAAACAACAATAGGCCTGAATATTTTTGTTTTCCAAAATTCATGTTGAATTTACCAATGTTATCCTTGTTTCTTAGCTTTACTATTAAACTTTTTTTTCTTATTGGTTAAACTTTAACATAAAAAGTACTTTACTAAACTTTTTGTTTGAGCCCTGCATTGAGTGCGTGTTTGCTTTAGCTTTTGGACGTGAAAATTCACGTTTGTGAGAAGCAAAAAATTGTAGCTTCTACGTAAATTGGCTTGTAAACGTGGAGAGAGTGTGAAAAATCACGTTTCTAAATCTAAAGCAAACACGCACCGAGAGAGCATACTGCTATTTCCAGACTGATCTATTCACGTCTATCTAAATTTGAATCTGTTTCATGTTTGTCTCTTATGGATGGTAATTCATTATGTCAGACTATCAGTCAGTCGGTGGCAACATGATCCTTTTCTTAATCAGGGAAATTTGAGATCACATTATCCATGTCAGGCTCTCAGCTCTATTGGCCGAGCCATAACTAAACTCTAAATAGCTAGTTGATTCATTGGTTTGACGTAATTTTTCCTCCCTGCCGAATGAAAACTTCTCAGTTTTGGCTTTTCCCTTGTGCATCGATAGATGTGTTTTTCATCAATCTCTTACCTATTTGTTTTTGTTGATTCTTGGTTCATGACTATTTATGAGCCAGTGTTTTTAGAATGGTAGAACCTTTACACTAGTTAGTTATTGGTTAGTCATTGTAGTCCTGTATCATGCCGGAGTTAGATTCAATACCCCATTATTCTTGTGCGAGGCAAATGCATATTCTCAGTTATTTTTTTTTTATTTTTCTTCACTTGTAACCTTTCTTTTTACTTTGTTTTCTTAGGAGGTCCCAATTTCTTCCGAAGAAAATGTTGTAAAGTGTATGGCTGATATGAAAAAACCACGTGAACCTAGGGCCAATTCTGATACTCAAGTTGATGGTGGCCTCCTTACAAATAATACTATACAAAATATTACTTTGACTAGTGAGGGACAGGACGACAGAAGTTGTTCTTCTTGGCTAAGTTTAGACTCATGTTCGGCAGATAATCCTGTACTTTGTAAGGCCACACTTCAACGGAGTACGATTGGTGAAGCTTCTGCTTCCCGAAACTTTTCAGTTGGTAAAGCTGTCAAAGATGAGAGACATACCATAGACATGGTACAACTGCCAAACATAGGTCGTCATGTGTCTACCACTCCACGAAAATCCAGGAAGCGTTCTGGCAAAGTGAATGCAAATTTAAATATAGGATTGACTGTTGAGAGTTCAAGCCGTGAAGTTAATCATGAAAATGGTTGATTGATGGAGTTCAAACAGAATTGACTATTGAAAGATCAAGGCATGATGATGGTAACATGAAGATGGTTGATTGAAGTGCTCTGGCAAATGAAGTGCAAATAATAGACTTCTGCAGGTTCAAACTTCAAACCATGACGGTAATGTTGAAGATTGTTTTGATTGATGCCATCTGAACTAACTGAGCTTGTTTTTGTTATTCGTGGGGGGTGTTGGTAGCTTCGGCATCTACTATTATTTCTATTGCTGGATGGCAGTTAACCAAAGCTTGGGTGGTACCGTGGTACAACCCTCCCCCCCAGGTCTTTTAATGGGGGATCTTTCATGTTTTCTAGTTGCTCCACCAAGAATTAAGATATTAAATAGGTATTACGCGCAATGGTTGAAGTGATGATGTCTCTGTAAATATGTCGAGTGGTCATGGGAAAAATTGGCCTTGACATCGGAAATCATGTACATTACTCGCAAGTTCATGATCGTTGGAGATCATGTAAAAAAATTTTCTATTGCGGGTGTCCATTGTCTCTAGTTCATGGTGGAATTGATGAATTGTATAGAGCTTACTATATATTCTTCACTAATTCTTATGTGCCAACAAGTAATGTTTAAGAAAGTGCCAAGAACACGTGGGCAAGCCATCCCAGACTTGCTTTTGCCTGCACGCCTTTCTGGCATTACTGTTGTTGAAAGTAAATATTACTCGTTATTTTAAATTTTATCAAGTTCGTTTAAAACAACTTATTCCAAAGTCTTAACCAGTCGCAATCATAACAGTATGTATATGAGTACAAGTTTTTAACATCTATGCAAATTGCATTAGTCTAGATATTTTATATTGGTAGCAAAGCTTAAAAACGAATCCCCTTTTACTGAGCAAATCAGAAATAGTGAAATGCATGGTGGTTTTTATGAACGAAAACAATTAAACATACCACGAATTAAAAACGAGTCTTGGGATTTATCAATGGAATCAGCTATACGTCGGTTCCGCATGTAGCGTTTAATTATCTATTTATGCGTTTTTATTATTGAAGCAGGTTGAAATTCTATCTTCTCAATTCTCAATTGCCCACTCGTCTTTCTTCTTCTTCTTTTTTTTTTTTTTTTGGAAAAAATAACATGTCATTAATTTGTTCTCTTAAGAAGTAACGTTGTTGGAGCAATTGTACCCCACATTGATTTATTAATTTACTTTTGCCCATTACAGTATAAAAATACATACAATCTTAATTGTATTTTTTGATCTTTTTTTAATTTTGATTGTGCATATTTTTTTCCTCAAAGTTTTTGAGTCAATTAAATTAATTTATTTTTAAAATAAAAAATATTTTTTGGAAGTGAAATATATTTAAATTCAGGGAGCCAATTACTATTTTTAATTTAAATTTGAAAATGGTCTTAATAATAAGGCTTAATTGCATTTTTGATCTTTTAAGTATTGTAATTGGGCAATTTTGATCCCCAGAGTTTTAATCGGGTAATTTTAGTCCCTAAAAGATTATAATTGTGGGATTTTGGTCATTCATTTTTTAATTGAACAACTTTAGTCTCTCAAATATCATAATTGTACGATTTTAGTCTCTCTTATTAAAAATTTAATAATTTTAATATATATATATATATATATATAATGTTTTAAAATTATACAATTATTTGTCTATTCAAGTTAACGCATATTATAATTTTCGCTTAATTGTGCTTTTAATCCCTCAAGTATTGCAATTGTGTAATTTTGATCATCAAGATTTTAATTAAGTAATTTTAGTCCTTAAAAGATTGTAATTGTGTGATTTTAGTCTCTTAATTTTTAATTGAACAATTTTAGTCGCTTAACTATTATAATTGTGCAATTTTAGTCTTTTCCATTAAAAATTTAGTAATTTTAGAATATATATATATATATATATATATAATGTTTTAAAATTATACAATTGCTTACTTATTTCTACACAAAATGGGAAGTCACCTAACCCATTTGACAACCTATGCAAGTGACTATCAAAGGTGCCAAATGGGCATTGGGGTGCCAA